CCTCGTAAAAAACGAAACAAAACAAACAAAAAGAGAGGGGAAAAAGAAACACTCACCCATTCTTATTTGCCTCAAAGCCCACATCTCTCTTAAAGGAAAAAAATAAAGGGGGAGGGGAGGGGGGCTTCAGGCGGTGTCATTCTATGCAACAACCACCACACCCCACCCCACCCTTTTCATCAAACCCTTTCTTCCATCCCTGGTTCCTTTTCTCCTTTACTCGGAAATTATTTGCAGTCTCGAGTTGAAAAGTTCACGTATTTAACACACCATGCAGCCACCAGAGTTTGTATGGTGCCTGTGGTTTTTAGGAGCCCTGTGAGGATGGGGAGGTGGGGAGGTCGAGAGGTGAGGGGTGTGAGAAACAGTGACAAGGAGAGACTAAGAATGTGATCAACAAAGAAAATGAATTTTGGAGAACTTGCCTGCTATTACGTGAAACGTTGCTTGCATTGGGCATGAATTCACCGCTTTTAGAGCCACAATTATACATTATATAATTCTGGTGGGGCCGAACATTGCGCCTTTTTAAAACAAGAAACCACACACTCTTTAGACCTTCAAATTTAAACAAACACAGCATTCAAAGCTCCCAAGAACATAACGGAGCCGGATTGTCATGATTTGGAACTTAAGAATAAATTCTGCGTTTCAATTCGATATGTCTAAATGCAAAAAATGCTCCAAAATTCAACCCCTGGTTCCGTATTCTACTTTAAATAGCATGTAAGGATCCACTTTTCAGTATAGGATCAAAGTTGCACGTAAATAAGCAAACGGAAATCCACCGTGTAGCGCACGTCAGACTGTTCTACATGATACGGTGCACAGTCTGTAGGTTGATCATTGAGTGAAAACAAAAGGTTAACAATGTTGATATTATACCGATAAAAAATGATGGCATATTTGAACTTATGTAACACACCTATATTTTAAAAACCACAACTTATGTAACATTCCTTTACTGAGAAAAAGTGACACATTTTTTGTCAAAAGCTCCATCGGTACTGCTTCTACTGTTTTGTTATTCCCATCTTTGAACCTTAATATTAGAATTATCAATAAGCCACTCGTCATTTCTTCTAACGGCGGGGTAATCCATGTACTATGAACCATTTCGCGTGCATTTCTGGAGCAAAGTATATTTTTATGATAGAAGTAACATTCAACCCTTTATTCTTAGAATAAATTAGTAGCGTCTTTCGTGCATGATGCCCTGGCGACCCACATATCGCCCAAAGCGAGTAGATACACTCGGATGAGCTTGCTATGTAAAGAAAGTTCCAAAAAGAGGGATGGGGTAACTTTTATTTCATGTAGTAGGCATCACTTCGTCAGCATCTTGCAAGAAAAGCATCATTTAGCAAGCTTTGCAAGACAGATCCAACCGTGCAGATTACTAGTCCGAAAGAGATTAGTTCATTTGTACTCTGCATGCATCTCCTTTTATCCTAATAAACCCAGTTTGTGTCGCAGTAAAGGTCCCAGAGTTGCGCAATCATCATGACATTTTCAAAAGAGCACGACCACTTTGAAAGAGCATTGTTGCTTTTCTTTAATAGCATAATCTTACTACTATATGCCTGTTTTCACAAAACAAGTCGGATTTGGATAAATGGAATCATGCACAATCGAGCGATTTTCATATTGGTGCACACTGTAAACAATATTCTCCAAAGAAAGTAGCTGTATGCTGAGTTTAGATTATTATACGCCAAGGCTCATTTTTTCAGTTGTGGGTTTTCAACAGGGATGCAGATGATTTAGAAACATCGCAAAGGCCATTTGCGTCTTGATATTCTCATTACACTCTCTGTCTTTCCTTCCACGTCTATGGCATTTATCCGCACACTACGCGTCATTTCGCGAGCATTTCGCAAGCAAAGCACCCTTGGCAAGCCTTGCGTGTTACGACCAGCTAGACAGGGGCTCGGATATTTTTTTTATGTCAGAACTGATTTGCTTCCTAACTGATGGGGACCAGATCTGACCGAAGCAATCGGCGAGAGTCGGAACGCCAAGGAAAACAGATTGTATACCACTTACTTTTTTGGCGGACGTATAAAGTTGTAGAATATCTATTCTTTCCAAAATTATTTCCAACAAAGATTCTAGGCGTCGGAAGTTAAAACATTACTACGCCATTTATCTACAAACTTCCTTTCTGTAAAAACATCCAGTACTTCGAAGGAATAACCTTTCCTTTTTTGCTTCAAATTTGAAAAACTAGTAAAAACTGTTTGTTTTCTGCCGTATTTCTACCGCCCACTTTCAACTCTATGTGTGCAATGTTGTCTTTTCAAAACGTCTTTCAAACACTATCTGTTTTCTCTTAAGAGGGGACAGAAGGAAGGAGAGAGAAAGGGAAAACAATACGAGCGGGAGAGAGAGAGAGAGAGAGAGAGAGAGAGAGAGAGAAAGAGAGAGACAGAGAGAGAGATAGTAAACAATAAGAGTTGGAGAGAGAGCGAGAGAGAGAGCGAGAGAACGAGAGAGAGAGAGAGATGGTAAACAATAAGAGTTGGAGAGAGAGAGAGAGAGAGAGAGAGAGAGAGAGAGG